AACAACAACTGACCATTAACACACATGATGATATAACCCAGAAACCAAACCAGCTATGGAAGTTTCCAAAGTAAATAACCCTACAAGATTGTAAACAGGAACCAGAGACATCAATTGACAAATGAGGACAACTACAAACCAAAAAGAGGAAAGAACTGTGTAGTTACAGAACTTCTAGATGGTAGGGAAGTTAAGACAACTAAAAGATAGAACAGACTGTTCTAAACTTAGGAAGAAAACTATAAATCACAGGGTAACCTCAAAGAAAAATGATAGACCTTCACATCAAAATAAAAAAGAGGACCAGCACAAATATTTAGCAAATACTAAAACAATAGCAACAAAGGAAGTGATAACATGATTCATAAACAAAACAAGCTCAGCACAGAAAATTACATGGAATAAAGAAATCAACACCACGAAAAAGCACATAACAAAAATGAAAGCAACAAATTCTTATTTGCTGATAATTACATATCTGGCAAGGGACTTATGTCTAAGATTTATAGAAAACTCCAATGCCTCACAGCAAAGGAATTAACAATCCAATTGAAAAATGGGCAGAAGACATGCATAAACACTTCACCAAGGAAGATATTCAGGTGGCCAACTAATAAATGAAGAGATGCTCACGATCACTGGCCATCAGAGACATGCAAATCAAAACAACAATGAGATACCATCTCACCCCTGCATTGATGGCAAGGTTCAATAAGACAGAAAATAACAAATGCTGGCAGGGATGTAGAGAGATTGGGACTCTCATACACTGCTGGTGGGAATGTGAAATGGTAAAACCACTGTGGAAAGCAATATGGCGATTTCTTAGAAAGTTGGAATTGGAGATACCATTTGACCCAGGAATCCCCTTACTAGGTATATATCCTAGAGAGGTGAAAGCCAGGACAGGAACAGATATATGCACACCCATGTTCATCACAGCACTATTTACAATGCAAAAAGTGGAAACAACCTACATGCCCATCAGTGGAAGAGTGGATGATCAAATTCTTGTACATACACTCAATGGAATGCTATCCAGCACTAAAGAATAATGTAGAGTCTGTAAAACACTGCATAATATGGATGAACTTGGGGGACATTATGTTGAGTGAAATAACTCAATCACAGAAGGACAAATATAGTATTAGTTCGTTGTTGTGGATGGTCAAGGAAAGGTTTATATATGGAGGAAACTTTGTTGATTGCCAAGGGTGGCACTGAAAAAAAAATGCACTGACCCATGTCACTTTGGTTTTGTGTATTTCACTGTACATAAATTATATTTCAATAAAATGCATTTTTAAAAAAGAAAACATGCTGAGTGAAACAGGTCAAACACAAAAGGTCAAATATTATATAATCCCACTTTATGAAACATCTACAATAGGCAAATGAATAGAAACAAAACTTTATTGGTGGTCCCCAGGGACTGAGGAGAAGGGGAATACAGAGTTAATGCTTAATGAGTACAGAGTTTCCGTTTGGGGTGAGGAAAAAGCTTTGGAAATTGGTAACAGTGATGATTGTAATCAATGTCCCTATCTGGTACACTTAAATATAGTTTAAATGGATTTTTTTGGTTATACTCCCTCTTTTCATTTATCAACATGGTTAGATTCCAAACATCAAGTCGTTATACAAAAATTTGTATTATGCAAAAATGGAAAATGACCATATCAGATCACAATACGGAGTGTGACTAAGTCATTACATAACTGCCAAATTCAATCACTACATAACTGCCAAATTATATCATCACAGTCAAACCACTGAGAATCATGGCCCAGGCAAGTTGACCCATACCCTTAACCATCACAGCTAGCGTTACTCCCACCTTGCACCTCAGCATTCATTACTGCCAGACGTACATCACTAATGCACAAAATAGTTGGATAGCAGATTTTTTACTTTTGTCTTAAATGCAAAATGTCAGATAATGAGACAGTTGGTAAGTGAGGAGTAGGTATATATATTTTACAACAATAAAATAATAATAATAAAAGTATTGTTGACAGTTATATTTCAATTAGCAACTTGTCATTAACACTCGCCTTCTACCCCCAAGAATTCAATCATGTGACTGAGGTCTGCTGCACACAGTTAGGAAGCAGAACTAATAGGAGGAGATGGATCCACCCACAGAGGACACCACCCTGTATTACTAGTCCCTTAAGTGCAACGCAGCTCCCTAGTCCCTAAGGAAGTGATGAGCAGTCACTGCTTCTTACCTCCTTTTCTCTAATTTAGGCAATATAAGCATTTACTTATAAGTATATTGCTGTCGTATGCCATCAAGTCAATTCCAA